CTCCTTGTCTCAAAACCCTTCACTGGTTTCCTCCCGAGAAAAATCCAGGTTCCATTCTGGGCTGCAAGGCCTGGTAGCCGGCCCTCCTTCTCTAACTGCTTTCGGTTCCTCTCTTTCCTGTGCTTACGATGCCGCAGCTGCACTGGCTTCCTTTCAGGGCCTGGACTAGAGTGAGCTCTTTCTCGCCTCAGGGCCTTTGCACTCACTGCTTCTGCTATTTGAAACCTCTTTCTCCAAAGCTTTGCAAGGCTGGTTCCTCCTCATTCTTCAGGTTATCACCTCAAGTGTCACCTCCTCAAAGAGACCTTCTCTGACCCCAACACTTAAGATAGGCCCTTGTGGCCCCTCGCCAAGACTCTACGCGTTGTTTTCAAGGCACCCATTGCAATCTGAAGTTGTTCATTTGCTTTCCTGTTTACTGTCCATCTCTCTCGGCTAGAGAGTTAGCTGCCCCAGGGCAAGGATCTTGTCTGCTGTGCTCATTGCTGCGTCCCCATAGCACAGAACTGAGTCTGGCACTTAGCTGATGTTAGAAACAGAACTATGGGTGGATCACCCGCCTAACAGGGGTTTTGTGAGCATTAAATGAGAACATAAGTCAGAGTCCAGAATGCGAACCATCACCCCATGTAACCCCTCGGAGAATTTAAGAGCGCAGCATAGCTCACCACCCAGAGCGAGCCCACAGCCCCTTATAGCTGTGACTACCTCCGTAGCTGATGATTCCTAGGACGTCCAAGGGACCTCATGAACATGCCACAGGTCTGTGACCCAGCTCTACACTTACTTTCCTCCTGAAATAGAGCGGCAGGTTCTACCTAACTTTTGGTCCTTGATGGATTTGGGGTTTCCAACATCACAGAGAGCAAGCATATTTAATTTTTGATGACCCATGAACCAGAATAAAACTGGGCAGTGGTACTAGCCTCTGCTATGACAAAGAACAATCATTAGGTAGCAATCAAAACCGTTTGGACCAAAGCTTAGAGGCATAACTGCTGGCACCAAGAAACAATCCAATGACACGTTTTGTCAGGAGGTTACTGGCGCAGACAGACAAGAAACCTCCACAGCGTGAAGTTGAAAGCTCAGTGTCCAGAGGCAGACTGCCCAGCTCCAACTCTGTTCAGTGTATGACCCTGACCCAAGTCGTGTGCTTCAATTTCCTCACTGTATGATGGGGACACCAGGGGCATTTGGCTCAGAGGGTTGCAAACATGAAAAGGTCACCTGTGTAAGATGCTCAGAAGAGTGCCTGGCACGTGGCAACACTCAACACATTTTAGTTCTTCTCATATTCCAAGTAATCTAAAAAGCAGAAGTGAGGCAAAAATACTTTTAAACTACCAAATGCCAGATATACTTAAAAACAAACTTTTTCTGAGTTTAGACACAGAGTGAGGGTGTGTCAGAGCTGGACCTGCGGGGAGGGCAAGGTGAACTCTCAGGGCAGCAGGGTCACTGCTGCCGGATTGAGACAGAGACCCCTGGGCTTGAGGTGTGGTGTTGATTTGGGGGATGGAGTGCCATTGTATATAGTGCACCATGAAAGTTAAGAATTGGAAACAGCGTTTAGGGGTTAATATCCAGAATATATAAAGAACTACTGCTGCTCGATAACAAAAACCAATTTTTAAAATGGGCAAAGGACACTTCTCCAAGGAAGATACACAAGTGACCAATAAGCACACGAAAGGACGCTCGATCTCATCAGCATTAGGGAAACGCAAATCTAAAGCACAATGGATACCACTGCACACCCATTAGGATGGGCGTTATCAAAAAAAAAAAAAAGAAAACAGAAAGTAATGTGAGGATGTAGGGCAACAAAGACCCAATGCAGCCAAAAATAATTAATTAATTAAAAAAAATGACTTCACCATTTTTAAAAAAATTTATTTATTTTTGGCTGTGTTGGGTCTTCGTTGCTGCACGCGGGTTTTCTCTAGTTGTGGCGAGTGGGGGCTACTCTTTGTTGCAGTGTGCGGGCTTCTCACTGCGGTGGCTTCTCTTGCTGCGGAGCATGGGCTCTAGAGTGCAGGCTCAGTAGTTGTGCCAAGCGGGCTTCAGTAGTTATGGCTCAGGGGCTCTACAGCACAGGCTCAGTAGTTGTGGCGCACGGGCTCAGGTGCTCTGCGGCATGTGGGATCTTCCCGGACCAGGGCTCGAACCCCTGTCCCCTGCGTTGGCAGGCGGATTCTCAACCACTGCGCCACCAGGGAAGCCCTGCTTCTGTTTTATGTTTTGGTTTTTTGGTCCTGAGGCATGTAGGATCTCAGCTCCCCGACCGGGGCTTGAACCCAAACCCCCTGCACTGGAAGGTGGACTGCCAGGGAAGTCCCGTGTATGAGAAGCCTTACCAGAGAGGGGTGCACAGGGCTTGAGCTTTAGAGGAAGAAAGAAGACATCAGCACCCCAAACCCAAGACTGAAGGAAA